AGATGGGGGTATGGGAAATAGGAACGGCGCCGGATGATGGGGCCTCCATACCGTTAAGCATACCTCTCTCGGAGTAGAAAAGCGTTGCTCTTTTTTACCTCTAAATTGCTGTGAACCATATCAGTCGATAAGGAAACCTCTTGTTCCGGCATTTCTTTCTTACCTCTTCTTTAGTTGGATATACTCATATTCATCTAGCTGTATAGGCTATTGATGCTTTAATGGGATTGCTTGCTTGTTTGGTCCTTTTTTTTACCTTCTGCTTGTCTCTCTCTTCCCCCCTTCACCTTCTTTGCTTCTCTTTTGTGATGCACGGGTCTGGGCTGGTCTGCGATTTCATATAGGTCCTGTCATGAACTCTTATTTTTGCCGTATGCCGTTTCTGAATGTCCAATGATCTGATTGTTCTATTTCTTACGTTACATGTTGCTACTTTACTTCTTCACTTTATTACTTCCCCTTCTTCTATTCAACTCTTTGTGACCTGAATTTGTTTCAACTTATTTTATTCTTTTATCTCAACTTGCCAGTATTGCGGTTCCATTGCTTCCCTTGCTTTATAGCCATGACTGCACCATGCACTCGTTCTCTCTACCCTTTCTCTTACCTCGCAGGCGCTAAACATTGATATAGACATCGATATCAATAGCCGACACCTCATATGTACCATCTGTTTTGCTGCCCATGTTCATTTGCTCCTCTTCGGCGGAGATGAAGCAAAATTAGACCCCGATGTTAAAATTACAATAACAGTATGTTTCATATCGGGCCTCTGTTGAAAGCTTCCTTTCCTCTACGTAACTTCTAAAGTGTCATTTTCTTTCCCCCTTGGGCAAATACTTTTTATTCAAAGGAACCCAAGTTATGCATCTATAATTCAACATCGTAATGATACATTTCCCCTCAAACACGAGGAATTGAAAGCTGGAGACTCAAACGCTAACTATGGCATTGCTAGAACTGTAGAGATGGAAATAGGTAAGCATGGCCAATAAAATTTCGAGAAAGATATATATAGGCCAACGTGGAAATCAACCCCAGGTTCCGCCGCCACCACCACGGCCTTGCCGTCTTTGGGCGGATAGTCGCCAGTCATCGACGGAGCGATCTGATTATGTAATGGCTGAATGCGCTCAGCTCTTTTTCTCTTTGATAGCTTATTGGTACTTGCTTGTTTGTAGAATGTTGGTGCTGCCTCGACAAGCCACTGCATAACGTTAGTTTCATACGCGTGAATGGAAGGAAACAAACATGGAGATAATTACGTACCTTTGGCTCGATAGTCGTAGCACACTGCATATACTCCTTTGTTGTGAGAACGAGAGTATCAAAGATGACATGTTCGGCAGCTTTTCCGAATAGTGCTGAACTAGGATGCATGTACACGGGTGTACCTTCAATCAAAGTCTTATATCCTTCTTGTGGGTCTTTTCTGGCAGCGTTTCTGAAGAATCCAGAACAAAACGCCTGGCGAACTCTTGTGGTGTCTCTACCACACGATACAATTTTGTGTCGGTACCGATCCATGATAGTGACCAGCTGTTGGCGTACATCCTGCGCACGTCGGATTTGGCGAGCTTGAATGAAATTTTCGAAGCACCAAGGGGTACTGAAACGAGATTGTTTCCACGCATTATAAACATTGAGTAGAGTAAGGTGATCGCCATGGGGGTCATGGAATTTTGCTTTCTTTTGATCGGCCTGCTGTTGTTTTTCTTTGGGTCGATAAAATATCCCTTGAGCCACAGAAAGCATAGCAACGATTGTCAACACTTCCTCGGAGCAACCCATATCCACGGACGCAATCAAAACCTTCGCTAGGCCGGGATCCATTGGAAAATCAGCCATTTTTCGGCCAAGTCGAGTTAGCAGTCCCTCATCATCAAGGGCAGAGAGGGCATATAACTCTTCGAGGGCTGTAAGCATGGTGTTGGTAGGAGGGGGATCCATGAAGTCAAAATGTAAGAGATCATTAATGCCCATTGCCTTGAGCATAAGAATTGTTTGGGTAAGATTTTGGCGTTGAATATCTGGAATAGATGTAGGTAACATCTCAGATTGATATGCAGCCTCTGTGTATAACCGAAAACATTTGCCCGGGCCCTGTTCTTCCAGCACGGCCAGCTCGTTGCTTGGCCTGAGCTTGTGAGATTGGCGTAATCCCTAAAGAATCCATGCCCAATTTTGGATCATAAGCATTT